TGTCCAATTGCTCCTTGTCCAACTGATATACACCCTAAAAAAAATACAGGAAAAGCTTAAGGAATGCCTTAAAGACAATCCAAAATCTATTGCAAAAACAATTCCCACTTCGGTACCAAATGTGAGTATTGTAAATTTAGTATTATAAAATGTAGTATATACCCTATGGGAACATCCATGCACAATCCACGTGGAATCCACGTAAATAAGTCGATTCCACGTTACTTCCACCTCGATTCCACGGACGTTTCTATGGGGTATTCTTACGATGAATTCTTTCTTTATGTTATCATTTGCTACATTTTGTAACGATGCATATCGTTACGTAATAATAACAACGCAAGCCGAGCACCGCGAACCGAAAGCGCAAGAGGACAGCGCGTCCTCCAAAACAGTAAACAGCGCGACCGCCGAACAACAGCGGTAAATAGCGAATCAAGCGGGATTCGAGGTATATAAAATGCCGCGTAATCGCAATCGAGAGATTCGATCATCCGCTCTCGAAAGAGAATCAGAACCGATCCACCGCTCTCGAAGGAGAATCCGATTCCGATTATCCGCTCTAAGAGATACCGACTCCGCTCCTGGCAGATTACTGTTCGTCGATTGGCGACTGTAGTCACTCCGCCGTCGTTGCACGGATACGTGGCATCGACATTCGACTCTACTCCGCTCCTGGCAGATTATTGTTCGTCGATTGGCGACTGTAGTCACTCCGCCGTCGTTGCACGGATACGTGGCATCGACATTCGACTCTACTCCGCTCCTGGCAGATTATTGTTCGTCGATTGGCGACTGTAGTCACTCCGCCGTCGTTGCACGGATACGTGGCATCGACATTCGACTCTACTCCGCTCCTGGCAGATTATTGTTCGTCGATTGGCGACTGTAGTCACTCCGCCGTCGTTGCACGGATACGTGTCATATTCTACTCCGCTCCGGGTAGATTACTGCCCGTCGCGTAGCGACTGTAATCATTCCGCCGCCGGCTCACGGATTCGTGAGGCCGACACAGATAAGTTTCACCGTACCGCTGGCCGCATCCGAAACTGCGTCCGAACGAGCCAAGCTCGTTGAATCATAGAGGAAACTCCGAGAGCTAAGGTCCCGTGTACGAGGACCGACGGCTACACCGCATACACCGAACCGATTCAAATCTCCGCGATAGGAGATCGAAGGGAGCACCGCTAAGGCGATATCCCGCATGCAGTTACGCTGCAACCTCAACGCCGCGAACATTATATGACTCCGAAACGCCGTTAAACATCGCTGGGAAAAGTGTCCACCGCACTTAAGAGACACGACGCCGAAAGAAACGTCAACAGCATAGACTCGCGAAGACGCGACACTGACGTCGTCCGCGCCCCGCGCACCGCGCGTCACATCACCCAAATCGGCGTCTAAACAAACCTCTGTCAGGCGATACAAACAACCAAGACCAAAGGCGTCGACACGTATTGTTCGATATATATATTGTCATTATCATCAGCTTAGTATTTTAAATATATTATTCATTATTATTTTCTTAAAACATTGTTTCTCAATTATTCCGCCTATCACGAACCCGATCCGACAAGCGATTCAAACCCGCAACGAATCGCGGTTACAATTTTATATAATTCGTTCTATACATTATTTAGCTTTCTTCAAAATTGTTTCAATAATGTAAGGGAACACTCACTTATACCCTGGCAAAAAAATTTAAGACAAACGTTTTCACCAGGATATTATCTATACACGAAAATTAATTAACACATGTGTGACCTCTGAAATACTTAATTAATATATTAATGTATATTAATGAATTTGCATTACAATTTTGTTAACAGACAAGTTTTACTAACCCTAGTTCTAGGTGGAATGATCCTGCTTCTAGATGGGATGACGATAACTTTGCGAATAGATTAACACCTGTGCCTAGTACATCCACTGTAGATCTTGATATCGATGTCTCCAATGCACCAAAGGTAAATATCGCAAAGTTTTAAATTTTTCTTTGGAAATTGCTCAATAATATTTGTTGATTTGCTACTTTTATGTACTTGCTGTTTCTTTAAGTTGTTTGTATCACATAAATGTTATATATCCAATAAAGTTTCTTCATGAACGCCGTAAAATACAAACATTTCATATATTTCATGGAATACGCTTTAAGAGCTCTGATTATTTTTATATTTATTTTACATGAACATTATAAATTAAAAAAACAGCAGGAACATTTGAAAGACATCTCTAACATTTCAATAGCTAAGTGTTATACAGATTTACCTGCCAATGACAACACATCTCCCTCCACAGGAGAGGTAATGTGGTATATTTGTTATCTCAATTATTGATAGAATTTATTTCTTGTTTAATTGTCAGTTGAGATCTACTTTTCATAGATAGTACGTTTCGGATTTAGAAGTGTCCCAAAGTCAATGATAGATAAACTGAGACATGGAAAAATAGGTTGACAGAAGCTGTTTTTACACCTGAAGAAATGACACTAAGCACTGTCAGAGGTAGTAAAACAAATGCCCACAAGGGCGTGCTTCAAAAGAAAACTTTGGATCAAAGCTTTGTGCAAGCTATTATAGGTGAGTTCATTTCTTATACCACATTTCTCTTTATTTATTATAATGTGTGAATTCAGTTTTACAAATTAGGAATTTATTAATTATTTTTAACACTTTAAAGAACAAATAAATAAATATTTTTACGTAATATAAAAAATACATGTAAAAATATTTGTGTTATTAAGAATATTTTAAAAATATTTCCTTAACTCTCTCTCTATGTAATAATCTTAAATTTATAATTTACAAGTGCAAGATAAATATATAAAAAACAGATCTACCCCATGCACATTGTCTATTATTTCATATGACTCTTAACATGTATGATTTCTTTATTTTTACAGAGTATTGTGCTACATCCTTTAATAAATCAACCTCAGAAGTGAGTTCTGAGATGATAAAATCAATAGGATTTAAATTGAACAATTTTACTAAAACCGAAGAGAGCAAGAAGATAATCAAGAAACACAAATTAAGCCTTGGGTTACCCATAGATTAATCAACCAAAAAGAATAATATTGAATCATATTATTGCAATTATTAGTACATTTTCTTAATTTAATTTTCTTCTTGCGGTTTTGATTAATATAATCCAATATTATTTGTATATTTTTTCTTAGAGTTCATGAAACAAATATTATTTTTCTACATTGTAAGGTTTGCAATATTTATATTTAGTTTATCACAAGTTTTGTGCTTTACATTATTTTTTCTATGTTATATTTGGATATGCAATAATATATATAATATGAAGTAATAAAGTGAATAACATTTTTGCAATATAAATATTTTTTTTAGTACGCTCCCTTAGTATTTATCCTAGTTTATTTTTAGTAATTCCATTAGTTTACTTTAAATAACTTACAGTTTACTTTACAGTTTACTTAAAGTTTTGCTCCAATTAACTTAAAGTTTACTATAGTTTTCTACAGTAAACTTTTGGTAAACTTTTTAGTTTACTTTACTACTTTTTAGTTTAGTTTACTCAGTTTTTTAAAGTAGATTTTCTCACGGGTAGTGCACATTAATTCTTTAGAGGTTCTAAAAATGGCGTCATGTTTTCCGTTTGTGTTACGAGTGTAAATGCAATTCTGATACACTTTGCACTCTTGCTTGGGATCAAGTGTAAAAAGTGTATCAAAATTGCAATTACGCTCGTAACACGAATGGAAATCATGACGTCATTTTTAGGGGTGTATATCAGTTGGACACGGGGCAATTGGACACAGTCCAATCACAAGTCGCTGTTCCAAAGGACCCTACAAATGTCTCTAATCATACGGTGCTGTGATTGGCTGTGTCCAAATGCACCATGTCCAAGTGCACCGCTCCCATTTTTAGAACCTCTAAAGAATTAATGTGCACTAAGTGTGAAAGTATAAAAAGTTCAATTAATGCGAATTAATTTATTGGATATTAGCTACTTTCAGACAGCTCACATCTTTAAAGGATTAAAAATATTCTGACATCCCTCCGTTCTAAAAGCGTCTTCAGAACACATTTTGGAAAATTTGTATTGTATGAGGTGTACTAGTGTGCAACGGGCATTAGGTATAAAAGTGTGAATAGTACAAGCAACTCGAACAAACCTTATGTCTTAAAAACATTCTGAAAAATTCTAAAGATGTCTATTGCAAATTGGTGTTGTTTTGAGTATATTATATTTGTTTTACTTACAAATTCACATTAAATCTTTCATTTTTTACGAGTTTAGTGAAGGTTTTCATCTTTCACGAGTTTATTACAAAATTTTCACTTTTCACGAGTTCACACTAGGGGAAAAGATTCATGATCGCTACCCAGAACTCAGTCAGAAGTAGAGATGCCCGATTCTGAATCGATTCGATTCTTTCCCCAAAAATAGGCTTATTTGTGTTGTTTGCATTCTTCGCACTTTTCGTATTTGAAATCAGACAAAAGTATATTGGAATGTTTGGAAGAAGCAAGATAACTAACTCAATTGTTTCTTCCAAGCGTCTGATTAGGCATCCATCTCTTTTTAAAAACGAAAAGTATGAAACATGCAAGCAGCACGAACAACCCTTTCTCCCTAAATTTGTTAGAGAATCGAATCGATTAAAAATCGAGCATCTCTAGTCAGAAGCTCTAATTGCAAAATTGTACAAAAAGAACTTTCTCTACTCGGACAATCTAATTAAAGAGGCATTTCTCCTGAAAAACACCTCTATTTTCAAGGACATTATTCATTTTCTTAAAGCTACCTGCCAGTCCCTTTAAGGGTGCGTTCAGATTCCCTACCCGGGTGCACTCTATCACTAGAAACACTATAGTATATGTTACATATACTATAGCACTTCTAGTATTAGAGTGCACCCGGGTAGGGAATCTGAACGTACCCTAATAGGGGATAAATGGCTTGACCAATCACTTTATCGGAAGAATAGCGTTGGGGCATATGACGTGGTCGCCTGGAGCCATTTATTGAGAGAGACCCCTGCAGACTTTTAACGAATATTCTAACGTGGCAGAAGGCACTAAAATTCAAAGAATTAAAAAATTTAAAGTCTCGTGATTACATTTTTAGCACAATACGTTAATAGTATATCGCTTTTATTTATAATAAGTATTTTTACTTCTATTGCGTCTATTTATCTACGGAAAATCTGGCTAATTTAAGGATCTGCTAAGGTATGCTCGAACATATCACGTTTCGAATTATATATCATGATTATTGATTAATAAACTCAAAATGATGTTTTATTATTAATTCGAAGTTATTAACATGAGGAAACTTAGGCATAATATGTTCAATCTGGAAATTTCTGAACAATAACTGTTTCAATGACACCAGGTTATTAGTCACAAGAACGATTTTCCTAACCTATTATTGCGGCATATGCATAATTTACTATACTAGAGGCAGGTTCTTCTGGATACTGCAAATGCTTTGTAGCATCAAATAAACCGATATAATTGAAATATTTGCAACACTAAACGAACTCGACCCGATATATATATATATATATATATATATACACACACACACACACACACACACACACACACACACACATCATATGTATATATGTATGTGTGTATATATATAATCGGTTTGCATACGAGCAGTAGTTATCTATTGCATTTACTTCGAATAATCGAAACAGTGCATATTAGTAATACGTATGTTGTATATAATAAAATTTGAAATTTGCTAGTGCTTTTCTCTAATTCTAGCTTTAAAAAACCTGTCATTCAACAAAACACATAGAACAAAACACATAGAAGTGACCCAAGATTTAATTTCAATAAGAGCGAATCAGTTTTTTATTGTCAGCAATTAAATTGATGGCATGAAATATTTCTTGTACTAATTAATCAAAATCTGAATTAATATATTTCAGTAACAGATTCTGTTTAGTTATTTATCCACATTCATGAATCCAACACGATCGACAAACTTACGGCGCGGTGAGGAATCATCTACACGTAATGAAAATGATCGATTAATTGTGAAGTTGAGAAATGAAGACGAGAAACTAAGGCGTCGACGAGAATGGATGCGTCAACAAGAGCTGGAGAGACAACATGAAAAATTAAAACAACAAATGATTTTAAACTATGAGAGAAAACGCGCAGAAACTATGAAATCCAAGCGAACATCTTCACATCACAGTCGAAGCAAGAGCAGCAGTAAATCACCATCGTACGATCGACATAGAGAAAGGTCCTCGTCGAGACTTTCAAAATCTGAAACTCTGTTCAAAAAGTAAGTCGCAAACATGTGTATTTATGTAAGTATATATATATATATATATATATATATATGTATATATATATATATATGTGTGTGTGTGTAAGTATATATATGTAAGTTTCAGGTACTTTTGACAGAACATCGATTTTTTCTAATCATTAAATTATATAATCTGAATTCTACTATATGTAAAGTAAGATAAGATCTATTTAAAATATTTCTCTTTGAAATTTTAATTAAATAATTTATTATCTGCAATTTTTTTTTATAATATTGAATTATTATAATTGTGACTTCAGAACAGTAACTGCTTCAAGTATTGATTAATCAGTTGCAAAAAATACTGTCTCATTACAAAGAATAATGTCCCAGCCAGTGTTGCATAAATAACTATTTGATTATAATGTAATCAGCAAATGAACAATTTGTTTTCTTCAAGATTAAGGAAGGGAGAAGATATTATAAAATGCTTATATATTAATATGATACCATGATGAAAAAATTTTGTTGAAAATATAAAGAAATTTGACTGAAAACATAATAAAATGTGCTGAAATTTTGCTGAAAAACTCAATCGACCCACTTTTATTATAATTTCAGCAATGTTTATTGAAAATCAGCGAAATTTTAGTCAATTTCAGTTAGTTTCAATAAAATTCAGTAGAAAATCATTAAAATTTAAAATCAAGAAAAATATTCAGCATGTTTATCATTGTTATGTTAGCATTGTTCCATATGGATGTTTGGGAGATTAAAGGTTAAAATTAATATATATGTATATGTATGTATGTATATATATGTATATGTATGTATGTATATATGTATGTATGTATGTATGTATGTATATGTATGTATGTATGTATGTATGTATGTATGTATGTATGTATGCATGTATGCATGTATGCATACACACACACACACACACATGCACATATATATATATTTATGTTTATGTGTGTAATGTACTTCTATTACAGTAAATATGGATACTAAAATAATTATGGTGCTTCTTTAAATTTGTAATTATTTTTTTAAAGATATCCATATATCTAATTAGAAAGAGTATCTTTATAAATAATGTGAAATTTTATATTTCTTTTAGTCTATATGCAAATATTACATATATTAACGATTGCTCTAGATGCAATATTGCTCTAAATGCAATATTGATCTAGATACAAATTAACAATCGTATGAATTTATGTTGAAACATAGTGAAGAAATTAGATTTCCATATATTTCAATAAAGTTCGATATATTTCAATAATTTTCATTGATATTTCAATGAGATAGAGTTTTGATATCCTAATATATAGAAAAATAAAAAAATTAAATTTTAATTAGCATTTAGTATAATTTCATTATTTATTCAGAACTTTTTCACGAAGTTTTTCATTGATCAATAAATGAGGTACATAAAGTACTTATTTACAATTCATTATGAATTATTATTGTTTTAAGGTTCAATGCAATTCAGCAAAATTTTGAAAATTATTGAGAAATGTTTTCATGAATTTTTTTCATCAATATTTCAACAAAGTTTCAATACAATTTACTCAGTTTTCACTGAAATTCAGTAGATTTCATAAATATTTCAAAATATTTTCATTACTTTTTATCAATATTTAAAATTCATTATTTTGTCACACTTTTCATAACAATTCATAAAGAAAATCATTTCATAATTTATCATGAAAAATTTTCAACAACTTTTCAATAACTTTCATTTCTCTTTTTGGTGATTTTATTTATTTTTAGCAAATTTTTTCCATCAGGGTAGTGATACAATTTGTATACATGTACAGCTGTATATACAATTTTGTATTTGTATATAAGCATTTCTTTTTTCTGATGAATTTACCAACATCATAAAGAGCTTAAATAAAGAAAAGATGGAATTACATGAAATTTAATATATTATGACTGTATTATCTTTAGATTAGATGGGTCCACAAATGGCGTAGTACCTTTGTTCAAAGGTCCTGAGGGCACACAAATTAGTTCTACAGAATTACGTCGAATTAAAGTCGATATTCGCAGAAATATTCCTGCAAAAGGACCAATTACTACCGAACTACAACGGGATATACTGAATCCCGAGGATGTGATCCTTAAAAGAAGAGAGGGTAAAATGTTAAATTTTTTTTAGGATTCTCTTATGAAAATTGTATCACTAGATGATAATGAAACTTCATTCTTCACCTAGTTGTACAACTTTCTGAGTTTTGTCAAAAGTAGATTTTATAAAATAGATCGACCGTTTTCTTCATTCAAACTGAATGATGTCAGTTTATTCAAATTGGAAGACTGTGAGAAGACCAGAAGAGAAAGACAAACAAAGAGAATTCTAACAAATGAATCAAACCAATACAAAAGAATGTTGCAACCCTCTTGCTAACTGTACAGTATCTTTTTATTTGGGCATTTAATGAACGCTCGTGTGGGATACACGTATCTATTTAAGTTGGCGCTCAGAGAAAATAAAACAGTACGGACTTACACTAGTCGATTTCGATTCGAAAACTGTAGAACATCTGGAAAATGCGATTCCAACGCAAGGGATTAATGTATTTATATTAATAATGTTTCATATCAATACGACGTGATACATGTTTTTCGACGCTATTAATTTTAAAATAACAAAGTAATATTAAAGAAGATACATCATAAAGAATTACCATTATTGTACCTATTAAATTGGCTGGTAGCGTTTTACATGCTACCATTTGCTAACAGAGAACGTTAATGTAAAAATATAAGAAAATTTGAATTTTATAGGAAGATAAAACAGACATATTTAATGAAAGAATTTTTTTTACTGGTGCTAAAAAATGAGAGATATACATGCAATATTATTTTTAATTATTTGTTATATGTTACTTAGGTTTTTTCTGAAAAGCATATTATAATGCAATATAAAACATTTTCGAGTAAAAAAGATAATACATATGTATTACAATAAATTTTCATGATATACTTACAATTTTCTGAAATGTAAAATAACTAAATATAACAAATGTATAAATATTATATCCAAGAAGATGTCAATTGCAAGAACGTGTGAATCATACGCAGATTGATACGATAATTGATACAATAATGATCTTAATATTATACAAAATGAGCTTTGTTAATATATTCGATCAATTAACATTCAAAGATACCGCAATATATTAAAGCTTAGAAGATGAATTGAGTGATATCATATAAATATTCATTCACTTGCTCATTATTTCTTGCAAGGATGAGATCGGTCCCGCGAAATTATTTTATATAATCAGCGGAATATTTAGAGAGAGAATCGGTTTAATTCTTATTTAACGGATATATGAATGCATGGACAAATATTCAGACATTTGCTCATTCCAAGTTTTACACGACATTAGAAAGTATTAGACCTGTTTTAGCCACGCTAGTAGTGCATTGGAAAGAAACTTTATTATTTTTTCCTTCATTTGCTTATGTACTGGTTTTACTTTAATACATATTTCTACTATAGTACTGATTAATCTTAAATCTTAATTTGAATTTAAACTCTCTCTCTCTCTTTATATATATATATATATATATATATATATATATATATATATATATATATATATATATATATATATATATATATATATATATATATATATATATATATATATATATATATATATATATATATATATATATATATATATATATATATATATATATATATATATATATATATATATATATATATATATATATATATATATATATATATATATATATATATATATATATATATATATATATATATATATATATATATATATATATATATATATATATATATATATATATATATATATATATATATATATATATATATATATATATATATATATATATATATATATATATATATATATATATATATATATATATATATATATATATATATATATATATATATATATATATATATATATATATATATATATATATATATATATATATATATATATATATATATATATATATATATATATATATATATATATATATATATATATATATATATATATATATATATATATATATATATATATATATATATATATATATATATATATATATATATATATATATATATATATATATATATATATATATATACACACAAAGATTTAAACTCTTATTAAAATTCAAATGGTGTTGATAGAAACAAAAGTAAAGGTGACTTTTTCCAAATTTCGCTTAATCTTAACCGATAGTTAACTAGTATTTACTGAATGGAATTAATTAATATTATTATTGAAGAAAAAATTGAAAGAGAGTTAGAAATTTAAGTTGGTTACTCTGTCAGTTAACTGTCGGTTAACATTAACGTTAAAGTTACTCTAAACGTAAAATGTGTAACCTACTTTAATTAAAAAATAAACTTATTATATCGGAAGATGCAGATGGGGATATAAAAATAATACAACATTGGAAGATACAACATTGAAAATTGCAATATTGAGAAGTACAATTTTACAGATAGCGTTAGAAACGCTTGGTATGGAAGAAGGGAAACAGCGACCTTCAGTGGATAGACATTGTCCAGGTTGAGGGAAGCTTGTTCACTCACTATAAGGAAGAATAAATCTCCGACGAAATCGCCGAAAGGTCATCTGACAAGTGGGGCAGTCTTTGAAGAAGCCTCTGCACTCAAAGGTGGACCAAAAGGATGAAATAGCGGATAGGAGGCAGGAAAGAGAAGAGTAGTCCTAAATCCTTAAATCACAGCTTAATAGGATGGGAGACATAGGGAAATGCCGCTAATTCAAATGTGGTAAATACCGGCAGGACTTTCTGAAATAATGCGAAAGCGGCTTCACGTGCCATAATGAACGAAAGTGAATATTAAAAAAGAAGTTAGAGACACAATATTGAAAATACTACATCAATATTGGAAGACACATTGGAGGTACAAGATTGGAAGATTCAATATCAGAAAGTACAATATCGGCAGATATAAGTAATAACAATAAATAAACAATAAATAAGATACAACAAGTACAACACCGGAAGATCCATTATAGATACAATATCTGAAGATATATAATAGATACAACGCTAGAAGATCGAAGACACCGAAGATGCAATATTATAAATGTAACATTGAAGATACAACATCATAAGTAAAACACTGAAGATACAGCATCGGAAAATAAAATATCAGTAGATATAATATTGAAAGAAGTGTTGGCCAAGCCAGAAATACAACATCAGAGGATACAAAATCATAGACACAATATATTGAAGATATTGTTAATATCGTTAGGTACAATATCGGAAGTTACAATATCAAGAAGAAGTTAGAAGTTATAACATAGACGATATAAAATCTGAAGATACATTAGAGATACAACACTGGGATATACAACAGAAACATAACAGGTTGAAGATACAACATCATAAATACAACATGGAAGATATAACATTGTAAACATAGTATTGAAGATAAAATTATAGTCGTAAATACGACATTGAAGATATAAAATCGTAAATACAATATCGGAAAATACAACATTTGTAGCCCAGATACAGTAGAACTTCGTTATAACTCCTCTTACTATAAGTCACCTTTTCCTCTCACCTCTTACCTTTTCCTTTCATATATATTTTCATTAATACTAATTAGAGTTCCCTTTATATTGCTGTTCACTAGCTGCTTTTTAATACAACTTTGTGTCTTACATAACTTGCACCTATGCATACGCAAAGATTAGACAACTTTAGAGCTATTGGAGGTGGAATATAAATCTCGTTATAAATTCACCTCATAACTCTGCAGTCTTGAAACTGAACTTGTAACGGGGCTCCAACTGTAGCATAAAACATAAGATCATTTTGGATTTGCTCAAGACGTTTTAGAATACTTCTCAGGACATCCTAGATACATTTTGGGTCATTTTATATCCTTTTGCAGATATTATATCGAAAGATACAATATCAGAAAACAACATAGGAAGTTATAATATTAGAATATATATCTATCAGGGTTAGGTAAGTTAACTTTTTTTTAACTAAGTTAAGTTAAAATTAATGACTTTGAAAATTTAATTTAGTTAAGATAAAATTAATCCATAATGAAATTAATTGAATTAAAAGTTAAGTTAAAAAATAAAAATAAATAAAAATTAAATAAAAAAAAAAATTAAAAAGTTAAATTTGTTTCATTTCATGACTTCAGAGTTTCAGTTTTATAAATAACGGGGAAAAATATAGACCTTATTTGGAAACATGTTTTATTTATAGATATTTATTAAATTTAAGTAATAAAATTTTTTCGAAATTTTTATCGGACATTTTTCCTCGAAAATTGTCGAAAATGAGTTCTCCTGCACTGAACAGTCTTTCGACGTCTCGCGACACCTTTATTAATATAATTGATTATTAAGATAATTGAATTAAAAGTTAATAGTTACCGATAAAATGTAACAAGTTAAGTTAAAAGTTGAGAGTGTAAAAATGTAAGTTAAGTTAAAGCTATTTAACTTTTTAACTTTTAACTTTTTAACTAGTTAGTACCCAACTCTGATATCTATTATGAAGATTGAACTGGAACGAGTATGATTTTGATATCCTGTTCATTTTATATTGGAGATCCGATCAGGCGAATTCTCAATTGCTGCCGTGCAGGTAGCACACTGTCTCCGCGTGAGACAGCGTGAACAATCTTGCCGGCAGGATCGACGACTCTGGTGATTAACAGTCATTAACACGACTCTCTAAACTTCTAGAACGTTCTGGATCTCGGCTCCGAGCTTCGTCTAGAAATTAATTAGTCTCTTGCTCGGAGTCAAGTTTGCGAGACATTTTGTGAATAAAAATTTTTCTTTCGTGATAAGTAAGTGAAGAAGTCGTCAGCATGCTCTGCCGACAGCGTTCCCAGTCTCTTGTTCGGTTCTTTTACGTGCTATTGCGAGATTCCTTCTTGATGGGAACAATCGCAAGAAGCAGCACTGGTTGCGACAATTTTGATTGTTTTATTATGGATCTTTCACGAGCGCGAGTCGTGGATCTGCAGTTACTGTGGCACGCTAATGAAACGTTAATTGGTTAACTGCGGCCACGCGATTTGTCTAAGTTTTGGGGCGAATTTGTACCGACTGTATCATTAACAAGAGTAAAATAATAATATTAGCAACATTCGATGCACACTTTGATGTGATTGACATTTTCTTTCGTTGCTCGCGAGTCAAGCTGAGCTCTGCAGTTGATTGCAAGTTCGGAGAGTCGACGGGAAAGCCCACAACTACCTCCTTTATTTAAAAGATTTTAGAATAAATTGGGTTTCTTCTACTTATTCTTTATTAATATATGTTATTTTTCAAGAGAGTGATCCAAATTATAAGATAAGGAATAAAATTATAAGAATAGAATGTGGTTATTGATTTTTGTATATATTTATATATTGTGTTTACAGGAAACTATAGAGAGGATGTGCTGTAATTTTGGATAATCCTGACTGATCTGAATATTGCCAATTTCAACGTCGATTAAATCTTTAAACTTGAGTTTCTATAGACAAAGACTTCAACTTAAAGTTTAATTGACGTTTAGTAGAAATGGATATATGTCATATATTGATTGAAAAAATCAGGAGATGAGAAAGAGAATTATATTTCTAAATGTATGGGACATGACTAGATGAAATATAGATAATAACTAGGTATATTCAATAAGAGAGGTAATAGATAGACACAATCTGTATATTCTGAGATGTAACAGGTAGAATTTTATTTTGTAATTATTTAATAATATTTAATATTATTTTTTGCTTTATTGTAGCATATTTATGATTTTCCTAAATATTCAGCCTCTTACATAATGTTTGTTAACTTAAATTGTGAAATTGTGTCTACACAGGATTTACTTAATTGAAGAAAAAATATAAAATTAGTTATGATTCCATTGATAATTTGGTGAATTTATTAAGGAAATTATGTCTTAAATTTTTAGCTTGAAATGTAAGTAAGAAAATAGAAGAAAGATGCATGCCCAAATAGTGTAAAGTAACATGACATGTAAATAAGATAAGGCATTTAGGTGTAATAATAACAATGAGCCACTATCAAAGTTTTCACAAGAAGTTTAGAATAAATAATCGAAAAATACAACAATAAATGGAAAATACGACAACGGAAGATGCAATAATAGAATATACAATAATGAAAGTTACAACAACGGAAGATACATAATACAAGATGCAGTAATGAAAGATTTAACCATGCATGTGCATAACAATACTGGAAGATATAAATATTTTAGTGGCATAATCGGCTAGAAGACTTGTCCGCATTTAATATAATCCCGGCGAAGACAAATCTCTTTATTTAATAGCAGATTATTTTCTTCAATCTGTGCAACTAAAAAGAAGTAAGACATTACATACTGATCTAATGCTTTATGGAATAATAATACATATTAAATAAGTAGTATAATAAGTTATTTTTTTTGTTACAAAACCCTAATGAAAAATTTTTAATGAAAATTTCAGAATTTCTCTAAAAATTGGGCTATTCAGAGGAAGTAAAGATTTTTACAGACTTTCAGTTTTTTTAATGAAAAAATTTGAAAATTTCTGAAAATTCTGTTTTAAGTAAGTAAAGTAAGTAGTAAAAGTCAGAAATTTTCATTGAACAGTTGTATAAGGTTTCTCTGAAAAACTCTTAGTGAAAAAATTTTACTTTTTATAAAAAATTCTAACTTTTCTTGAAAAAATTACTTGCCTCTTCCGACATACAAGAATGAAACAAAAATGAAAAATTCTGAGAAAAAATTATTTTCCCTGAGAAACATAATTTTCAGAGAAAATCGGAGATTTTCATTAAAAAATTGTTACAAGTTTTTTCTGAAAAACCCTTACTTAAATCCTTATTTTTCCTGAAGAAATCTTTCTCTGAAAAAATTTTACTTTTGCTGAAAGAGTTTATCTGTCTACTCCGAGATATAAAAGTGAAAAAAAATGAAAAACTAGAACAAAATTATTTTCTCTGAAAAACACAATTTTCAGAAAAAGAGATTTTCATTAAAAAATTGGCACAAAGTTTCTCTAGAAGACTTACTTTTCCTGAAAAAATTTTACCTTTACTGAATAACGCAATTTGTATTCTCTGACATGTCATATTACGATATTTCTAGAGAATCCTTATAATTATTTAATGACAATTTATAACTTTCTTTGAAAATTGCATGTCTTTTTTTGGTTTTATGGAAAGTAAAATTTTTTCAAACGCTTGCATCAAAATAAACGAATCCTTTTTTTACAAAATTTGATTTTCTCAATTTTTTAGTAAGATTCTAGTAAAATATGAAAAGTGAATTAATAATTAATTGCATTAATATAAATAAATATTAATTGAATTAATTACATTAAGTTAATTACATTATGTAAAAAGATAATTACATTATATAATTAAGATATTGTAAAAATTTTTTTATGTATATAGATTGTATACAAATATATAGAGATTGTATACAGTATGAGACAATTAAAAAGATTCAAGAGCATTTTGTATATCATTTTTTCTGAAAGCAAGGGTTTCTAAAAAATGTAGAGAAATTCATAAATTTTCAGAAAAATTTAGATATTTTCAGAGAAAATTTCAAAAATTTTCAGAGAAATTCAGTTTTTTAAATGTCTATGAAGTACAACCAATTTCCTGACTTTCTCTGCATTTTTCTGAAAAAAGAAAATTTCTGAGAAATTCAGAAATTTTCAGAGAAATTATTAGATTTTCATTTTTTTCCATTTTTATTAAATATGACTTTCTTTGAATTTTTCTAAAAATGTTCCAATTTCTTGATTTCTTCAGAATTTTTCAGAAAAATTTTCAGCAAAATTAAGAAATTTTCATTAAAAATTTTTTATCAGGGTACTAATTTCATACTAATACTTTCAAAAATTTATATATTTGCGTAATTAATTACAAATCTATAAATATAATTTATTAACATAGCAATTAATGTATGTAATTTTTTAAATCTTGTTTGAATTTTTAACCGCTGCATATTTCTCTCTCGCCTGCGTGCAAAGTGCCGTAAAATTAATAAAAATATTAATATTTTCCATTTTAAACCTTTCTTACAGAATATATGCTGATGCACACATTATCTTGAAAAAATTTCGACTATAACCTGCAATTAAAAAGTAATTAGTTATTCATTGTTAGAAGAAATAAAGAATAATGTATTACAATTTAGAAACGTAAAAAGGTATGTATGTGTAGTAATATATATTTGACATTATATTTATAATATTTTCTATATAGCATGTACAAAAAGTTCTGGGACGAAATATCTCGGAAAATGTAAGTTTTGTAAAAAATGTTTAAGATAAAAGTTATAAAGTTTAAACAGATTTATTTATTGGCTATATCAATTTAATCTCAGATGGTATCACCAACATCTCTGCCACAACTAAACCACTCCTATTATATACTACTCCTACTTTATCCTATTCTTATACACATTACCTAAAAATCACTCATCCATCATGGATATAATAATAGTATTTCCACTTATCTCACTTGGATAAAACTATAATCGCCGACATCTTACAATAAAAAAGACGATAACTTTGAAATTACAGGTCTGAAGTGGATAAAATTATATTATTTTAATATCTCTATATGATATTATTAGAAAGATCTCAAAAGTGTCTATAAGAATATATGATAAAAAAATAATGATTGTATATGAAATGATCTTTATCTAATCATATCATCTAAGGTTAAACTGATAATATCAGTAAATAAGCTTTTTTAAACCTTACAATTTTTATCTCTGAAATATTTTTTTATATAACTTTATTTCGAAATTCTCCATTCCAAAACTTTCTACAGGGTGTTTGACTCGTACCGTACCAGAGCTAATATATAGCTAGAATAGATTGGGATGAGTAATGGAATCAGTGTCTTTTTTTAAACAACCACGTAAAATTTTGAGATATTAACGATTTCTACCGAGTAGCCCACTGGGCAATCAGCACACGCGCTGCGGTGAGATGAATGCTTTATACGCTGTTGCCTAGGCATGACAGGCCAGCCCTTCTGAGTCAGACACTCTGTATACATTACTTAAATATTGAGATGCGTCAAAAGTAAAGTATGTTATGAATCCGATGGGAATATTTAACTAAAAGTATAATGAAATCATATTAGAATGTCGATTTACTGAAATCTTATATTGAAACTTATATTGAAACCAATTGTTCTTAGCCCATTCGCGTATTCGCAAGTATAACGCGTAATTCTTGAACAGTCTGTCGTATTCGGTGCATGTTCTATAAAGCAGCGACAGTTTTTACGGTTAATGTGGTGAGACGGAACGATAACTTTTAATGTATTGTTTCTTTCCTTGACGAACTGAATTTTTACTGAACTGTCTTTGTTAATCATTTCTCCTAAATAACCGATGGCTTGCTTTAATTGATAGGTTCCGATAAAAAAAATTGTAAGTTATTCTCAGTCATTTCAGGGAAGTCTTCAAGTAATCTATCAATTGAATCTATTTTGAAAAAAATTCTTCATAAAAATTAAATTTATTGAGAAAATTGCAATGAAATTTTACGTAGTAAATTCCATGAAAAAAAATTTTAATAGAATTTATTATACACACACATGCACACACGCACACACACTTTATCATTTTAATCGGCGCAGGTTAATATTTCAGAAACAGTGCATTTTAGAAAAAAAAATATTTTAGATGAAAGTTGTAAAGTTTAAAAGGTTGTTAATATTAACAGTTAATATAATCATTTAATAATAATATCCATTTGACCTTGGATGGCGTTACCAAGGTCAGGTCAGATCTGCTTGAGGTTACTATTCTTTTAAACTACTAAACAAAACGATTAATTTCGTAATCTTATTTGCTTATAGCCAAAAATGCATTGTGCTGTTATAGTAATTTTTTATGATGCTTTAAGTAGTTTTCACTCCTTATATTAAACAAAAAGAAAATTGTAATGCATATTAAATAGTTACGAAACTTGTAATTTTAAGGGGATGCCACACTTGAAAATTTTATTAATAGAATACTGATTTGTCTACAAGGTTACATTATATTGATTTTGACAAGTACTTTTACATAATAAAAATATGCAGAAAAATTAATTGGAGTTTTTCTCAACATTTGACAAAACCAATAAAAAATTTTCAGAGCTGACATATTGAATTATTAGCATAAACATTTGTTTGTTCCGTTTAAGGAAATTTCAAAAAGTACACTTACACCTGAATTTAGAAGCTTGAAGATATATGAAAAATTTATAGAAAAACTGCTATATATGTTATGTATTTATATTTTCTGCTAAATATGGTAAAACTAAATAGCATATTTATATAAGATATATATGTATAATAAATATAAGGATAGCGACATTGCGTCAATCTTTATTTAACGTGATGTTCTCATGATCATTTTTATATCATCGACATTTTTTATACCCACTTTGACATCCCTACAAGAGAATTTAGTTAAAAATAAATAATTAAAAATTTACTATAACTCTAAACTTTTCATCCATTTTCTGCAAAGACCGTGGCCGGTAGCATGGTAGGATGCTCCCAGCAATATCGGACTCATTTTTATACACAAGTTACGTCATGATCCAACATTAAATTACCCATTATGTCAATTTCTGGAACCACGTGGTTCCGGAGTTATGTCGTCAAGTTAAAAAATAAAAAAAAATTTTTTTCTTCGAAACGAGAAAAGCTATGGCTTTGAAAAAAATATGGAAAGTAAAATACTTTAGAGAAGTTCAAACAAATATGGTTTGATATGATTCGGACATTTATAGGGTGTCCAAAAAAATATTTCAATTTTTGTAACGTAATTTTTTCATCACCATCATATTCTATATGCAACATCACTACATACGCATGTATAATATTTATTTTAACGAAGATGATCATGACGGTAAAATATGGTTAAAAATATAAAAAAACAAAATCTTTTTTTTTTTTTAAAGAAGCGAATGCCAATTTTGGAAACTTACATTTTTAAAATATCATAAAACTGCTTTTTTCACAGATATTTTGTCTACGCTCTCTTATAAGAACAAATATCTGAAACCCGATCTTCGGTAGACATCGCTTATTAACAGACAGACATTTTGGTCCTTTCTGCATCCAATTAAGATTGGTTTTATTGTATTTGCAATAATAGATCTTTGTAATCAGTGTGCAATAAACGAATGTGACAAGATTCTTTTTTTTCGAATCCTAATTATCGCAAACGAACGATATTAAAATAAATCGTACCGAGCAAGTTGAAAGCAAGAAACAAAATAAAAAACCAACCTAACTGATTTAAATAAAATTGTAGTTAGGAACCACGATAAAAAAAATAAGACGAAGCTCATCGTCACTGTCTGCATTGATCGTCGAAGCAATCTGATCTTCATCAAAAATATAAAAGCGGCAGA